GGGATCGAACTCGGACCTTGTGTTTTTGAGGTGGGTGGCGGGCGGCACCACTGAGCTAACTCCTCACCCCTGAACTGAATTTTAAAGGCAGGGTGACTGTGTGACAGACGCTCAGAAGAAAAACTGTTGTGCACTGAGGAGGTGGCAAGAAGGATGTGTGGGCCATGGTAGTGATGCCGATGGCTTATTTTCTTTCTTTCCGTTTCAGTTTCTGATTACAGGTGGAGATCTACAAGGCAGTAAAGAGGCACTGCAGTTGGCACAAACAAAAGGTACCCTCATATTACTTCTTTTTTTTTGGTACTGGAGATCGAACTCGGGACCTTGCGCTTGCGAGGCACGCGCCGGAACCACTGAGCTAAGTCCCCGGCCCCCTCGTATTACTTCTACCAAAAGATATGAGTTAAGTGATTGTGAAGAAGTTTCTGAGAAGTGCTTCGGGTACAATACAGTGGATCATGACTGCAGACTCAGTAGGGCAGACAGACCGGTTCCAGTGGCGCACGATTAAGATGACAGCTCAAGCTTGCTGGGATGTCACATGCTTGATAACGCACTCTGTGTTGGGCAGACTGCGTTGGTATTTCAGTTAGTGAGAACAAAGTAATCCAGGAGCATGGTTTCTCCTCGGGTATTCCTAACGTGCAGTTTGTGTGTCATAAAATCTTTACAATTTGAATCGCTTTCTGTTTACTCTGTTTAACCTAAAGCTGTGAGGGATCTCTTATTAATTCCTTATGTTGTAGACCAGACCCTCTTTGGGCCCCAGAGTGCAAGTGCTAACGCCATGTGCACCCCTGCTAGGCTTACTTCATGCTCATGGGCTTTACATGGATTTAAAATCTTGAGTGTTGGGAATGGATTAACTGACTTGTGGCTACACAGAACACCTCCTTTATGTGGGACTCCTTTATTCGTCTTGCGTTTACATGCCTGATGTGCAAGACATTAAGGAATCAGGTATTCCGTAGAATTTTCCAGAATTCAGATGTACTAAGGAAGTGGAGTGTGAGTCTGGTGCCTTAGACCACTCAGCCACCCTGATACCTGTCCCCTGCAATACTAAGGATGGAACCCCGTAAGCAGCACTATATCCCATCTCCTTTTAATGTTTTTTGAGACAAGGTCTTGCTCAATTGCCCAGGCTGGCCTCAAATTTGTGATCCTCCTGCCTCAGCCTCCGGAGTAGCTGGAGCCACCATGCCCCGATCAGGGTCTTTCTGAAATACACACCTCTCTTCAGGATATACTGACATTTTTTTTTCTTAGTGATTAAAGACATAAAAATAATCATTTTCTCAGGAGTTTGGGGGTACATAAGAATATTTTCTTCCATAGTGTTTGTTCCCAAATAGCTGCGGTTTGTAAAGCCCCCGGCCATCTCCCCTGCCAGCCCTCTCCTGGTCCCCGCTGTGTGCCGTGAATCCTCACAGCTCTGAAAGGCCTGCCTCGGCTGGGGTGGTGACGCACACCTATGATCCCAACCCTGGGACACACAGGCAGGAGGGTCCCAGGTTACAGGCGCACCTGGACTCAACCTAGAGCCTGTCTCCGAATAAAACATGAAAAATAAGAGAGGCTGGAGATGTAGCTTAGCACGAGGCCTGAGTTCAGTCCTCAGAAGTAGAAAGAAAGAAGGGCCGGGTGGGGGAGCTGCCTCCTCACCTGCAGGCCCCGCAGCTGTCCAGAGGGCTCAGCCCTCGATACCCATCCGGCATCTCACCTGTGCCCCTTACAGTGAGGGCCGTGAAAGTATGGCCTCAGTGAGCTACTAGTGTCAGAAGGAAGAGCCCCTTTCTTTCTGCTTTAAGTAACTGCCACTCCTCACCATTACAAGATTCACCTTTAATATTTCAATATAATTACAATGCAGCATTAAATTATTAGAATGTACTAGATACTGTTTATATAATTTTAAGTTATATTAAATACATGGATCAAGACAGTCACAGAAGCAATGAATATAAAAGACATAATTTGATGATAACATTTCAAGAAATTGTTTCACTTTTTATTCTGTAATGCTTGCTGGTATTAATACCAAGCTTTGGAAAGAGTAGAACTGTTTTATCAACACATTAAGGCAGTTTGCATATTTATATCCTTCTTTCTTAAACTATTCCCCAAATTCTTATACGGATAACAATGCAATCAGAGTAGTCTGGAATAGTTTATGGCATTTGTTAAAAACCATTTATTGAAATTATTTGATATTCTCTAACTTTTGCATATTAAGTGTAAATATGAAAAAATATTTTGAAAATAACCCTAAGATTTTTTTTTTTGTTGTTAGATATGTTTTTCAGCACAGTTGGTTGCCATCCTACAAGATGTGGTGAATTTGAAAAGAAGAACCCTGATCTTTACTTAGAGGAGTTGCTGAATCTTGCGGAGATCAACAAGGGGAAAGTTGTAGCAGTAGGGGAATGTGGGCTCGGTAAGTGCCAACCTAGCCTTTTAGGATGACTTTGTTTAAAAATTACTGATTTGTCTTACACAAGTCTTGAGTAATTATTCTTTTTTTTAAATCTTTTAAAGATTTTGACCGACTACAGTTTTGTCCCAAAGATACTCAGCTTAAGTAAGTGATTTTTAAAATAATTTATCATGTGAACCATGTAATTAGACTAAGCATGATGTTTTTGTTTTTCCCTGCATATATCAAAAGTTAAATGAAGTAAATTCCATGTGTATTTGCACACAATTTATCAGAGATGGAAGCACATAGTCCCAGATTATCGAATTTGATTTTTTAATCAGATTGAGGCAGGGTCTCCTGGTGTAGTCTGAGCTGGCCTCAAGCAGTGATCGCCTTCCTGACTATGATTTTTTTTAGTACTGGGGATTGAACCCAGCACCTTCTGCTTGCTAGGTTAGTGCTGTGCCACTGAGCTACATCCCCACTACTTTGACTTTAATAGTAGAAATAAAGATTGAGCTTTACCTGATAGAGGCTTATTGGTTGTTTTTTGTTTAACAAATACAGTCATATGTGAACCTGGAGTGAATTAAATTCAGCTATGGGTATGACTTAAGAGCAAGGGACATTGAAAGGGGATTATAGGGTCAGTCACTGAAGTGAGAAAGCCTGCTCTACTCTTGGGACACTGGAGATTGTTAGTTTTGAGCAGTGAGAAGCCTTCAGTAGGAGCTTTGCCAAGAGCAGTGGCCTCTGGGAAGAGTAAAGCTTTCAGCCTTGGTAACTCGCTGTAGTTTACTGTCTGTAGCTTTCAGTTGGAACTTCTATCATGTGAGTGGGTCAGTGGGTTGAAAATAAGAATTGTGTCAAAGTCTTAATTTTAAACATGAACATTTTGTTGAACTTCAAAAGTACCTTAATTATCAAGATAATTATCAGTTTATGAACTTAAAATTCTTTCCACATTTCTAGTGGCAAACCGGATTGGACTAGACCCAAAGCAAATTGAATGGTTAGGCTCAATGTTGACCTTATGGGGAAATTTCATGTGGTTCTCATCCAATTTAGTTTGCATCCACAATCATGGAAAGAATTGAGTTCGTGAACCAAGGCACCACTGTATTGAAAAATTAGAATGAACTTCTGAAGGAGGTTAATTTAGTTATTCATTTATACAAGAAATATTTATGGAGTACTACTTGCCAACAAGGTATACTGTCTGTCCCTGAAGACCTTTATGAATAAACAGCCATCTGTCTCTCCACTTCAGGGTCCCCCCGCTTTTTGGTGCTGGAGATCAAACCCAACTACTGCATGCCAGGGAAGTGCCCTACCACTGAGCTACACCCCCAGCTCTCTGTCTTAGTAGTTTCTTATATATAAAGGAGTTGAGTCAGATTCCCTCAAGATAACATCTAGCTCTATTATATTATTTAATAATTAATATTTGGTATCTGTTTTAATGAAGCTAGGGACTTGATGGCCAGAAGTATACCCCAACACCCACTGTTTTGCCTTAAGTAGGATCCTGATCTGTCCCCCTTATTGAAAAATCACTGTGGCAAGGACCAGGTGTATTAGTGGAGCTGGTAATGACCTAGACTTGAAGCTCTAGAATTTCTGAAGCATGAAAATCTATAACCAAGTGGAGTTCGAATAATGTTCTGTGGTCATATTCTTTCAGACCTCTTCTTTATGCACATGTAGTATGTCCCCTGTGTTTTTCAGGGACAATCATGTGGCCACCAGCAGGGTTACTACAGCTCTGTGCCTCTTGAATAGCATGTCATCAGCTCACTTGACCTTAAAAGTTCACATATTTACACTAAAATAGGAAGCATTTGTCTTGTTAGGTTATTCTCCACTTCCCCATGTCTGCTTTTGGGCAGGATGAACCTTCTGAATCACCAGCTGTATCAGGACAAGCAAGACAGCTGCAGAGGCCTCCCAAGGTTTCTTGTCCATAGGGATTTTCTTCTAGAATAAGTTAAAACTGATGCTAAAATGCACCCTAAATACTTTAAACTCAATTTGGGGGTTAAATGAAAGCCCTGGTAATATTGATTATATTTTATTTTTCTAAAGGTACTTACATCATCAAATCAAGGTGAGAACTTAAAACAATATGTATAACAGGGTATAGTTTCTGCTGTAACTCTCAGAATGTCAATTGTCCAAGTGTTAATGTGTAGTAGAGTTTGACTTCAGTCCATTCAGTGCATGATTACTGAGTGCCTCTTCACTATGCTGCAAAGAAATATAAGGCCAAGCATGGTGTGTACCAATAACTGCAGCACATGGGAGGCTGAGGCAGAAGGATCACAAGCTAGAGGTCGTCCCCCCCCGCCCCCCGGCAACTTAGTGAGATCCTGTCTCAAAAAATAAAAAGAACTGAGGATGTAGCTCAGTGGTAGAGCATCCTTGGGTTTGAAACAACAAAAGTATGATATTTGGAAGCAGTGGGTCTTTAGATATGATTTGTAATTGCCATTTAAAACCATGTACCCCTTGGTTCATCTCAATTTCCTCATCCTTAAAATGAAGATAGATGACGCTACCTGTCATTTAGCATGGGGTGTGTGAACCCTTAGTGGCTTGCCTGCCACGGAGTAAGTACCCTAAATTACAGCTGTTGTCATATTGGTCTTATTAGAAATATTACCATTCTGAAGGAAAATACCAGCTGTAATTTCTGTTTGGGGTTTTTGAAAAGTATTTTTTAAAGAATAAGGAAGAGAAGCAGAGGAAGTCGTCACTTGATGATAGAAAGTTTATCCTTTGAGTCATACCTATATTTTCAGTTTCTCTGCTCTTTACACTCTTTCCTGCTGCAAGGTAGAGCTCAGTTCTTTTGGATTGGAGGAGTTTTCTCTGGGGATTTTCTTGGGGCTTTAAAATGTTAATGCCAGGTAAGTCTTTAAATAAGTCAGATATAAGACATCAGAATTTCATAATGAACATTGGATCGTAGGAGACCCTGGAGGTGAGAGATTGAGGCCATGCTTGTCTTCGATCCTAGTTAGTTACACTTGTTACTCCAAGTCTTGCCTTTTCAGGCCATTGTTCTTAGATAGTGTTGCCCCTAAACTGAAGGGAGCAGTAATACAATCTGAAACCAAAATGAGCAAATACAACTTAAGTAAAGAACGATATTCATTTATGAACTAGAAAAAAATCATAAATAAGTACAACAGGCAGTGACTTCTCTTAGTAGATGCCAGCTCTGCCCTATAACTTACATCATTTCTTGTTAAAGGCAGTGGTCATTTGATGTTATAGTGATGATGTCCTTAGTTTGCATCTCTAGGAGTTTTTTTTCACTGCGTGGCTTCCTTATAATACTCAGCTTCTTTGAACTCAGGAGCCTCTCCTTCCTCAAATTATGTAAAATTCTGTGAGCACATTGCTTGGGCTTCTGTGTTTTTCATAAATTGTATCTTTTAGTTACTTTTCTTATTGCTGAGACAAAATACATGACACCCAAAGTTAAAGGAGGAAAGGTTTATTTGGCTCACAGTTTGCAGAGGTTTCAGTCCATAATCGGCCAGCTCCAAGGCAGGGTGGACGGCAGACAGGCCTTGCGGAGGGGAAATAGTTCATGGTGGCAGAGACAGCAAAGCAAGGCAGGGGGCCACAGCTCCTCGGTCCCTTGTCTTACCAGGCTGCTTAGGGCAGGGAGCACTCACCCACGCCTTTAATGCTAGTGCCCTGGATCCTAGCACTGCACCATGCATCAGTCCCAGCTCACACAACCTAGATCCAGCTGCCTCTGAAAAGCCCCACCTGTGACCACATGGGGCTTTGGGGGACATCGAGACACAGACGTAACACTCTACTTTTGTTTACCTGGAATAGAGCGCTAATTTCCAGACTGACCATCCGATTCTGTGAACTTGCGGCCCAGTGCAGCAGTGCAGAGGCAGAGGCAGAGGCACTGTCCTCTGTCGGGGGGATAAAGGGATCCACAGGCCAGCAGGTGCGCATCCTGATAAGAGCGTGCTGAACTGCTGACAGCTGGGTTACTGCAGCAGCTACGGGACTAGTGGCTGAGTAGTCACTCTTAATCTTTCCTTCTCCCAAGCTGTCTTTAATATTGCCTGTGCTGCATAAGGTCAACACTTTGTTATTCTCTTCCAGCAGAATCTGGAAAGGTGATTTAAACAACCACACAAGCCGGGCTGGTGGCGCATACCTGTAATTCCAACACTCAGAGGCTGAGACGGCCTTGTCACAAGTTCAAGGCCAGCCTGGGATACATCAAAAAACCAAACCAAACAATCATACCCAATGGATGACTAAGACACAAAGCACCAATTTTAGGGAGACTTTCTTTTTTTGTTTTGGTTTGTTTCTTGGATTTTTGAGATAGGATCTCCCTATATAGTCCAGGCTGACTTTGAACTCACCCTGTACCCCAGGCTAGCCTTGAAGTCACGTCAGTCCTCCTGGCTCAGGCTCCTGAGTGCTGGGAATACAAGCATGCACCACCACGCCTGGCAGGAAGACTATTTCTTTGCTAATTATATTTCTAGTATATTTCTGTTCCTGATTTTAAAATTTAGCATTTTCAGGAATGTGAAGGGGTGTTCCAGGAAAACAATACTCCACATCAGAAAACAGGGTATGCAAAATACAGGAAAAGAAATTTAACTTAAATACAGAAATTGTTTCCCCAGATTAGAGAACCCAGGAGAGGTAAACCTACCTAGGAGAAGAGCAAGTGGCCTGCCGTGCTGGTTTCAGGTAGAGAGACGTGGCCAGCAGTGGGCACCAAGCTGCTGTCGTGAGTGGGAGCAGGAGGAAGCTGCTCTGAAGTGGAACCATGGGGCTCTTGGGTAGCACTGAAGCTCTGGCTCCAAGTTTGCCTGTCATGATCCTGGACAGTACTGCAGCTCTCGCCGTCCTGGGATTTAGGGTCCTCTTGAGCAAATGACATACAGTGTGTGGCACTTGGAGAAACTTTATATAGCGCTGTGAAACATTCAGGAGTGCTGTTTATTGTTTTCATCTTTTGAAAAATAGCTTAATTCAGTTTTTATGCTACAGGAAGTCCCCAACTTGGGAATGAGTTCCGTTCACGGAGAACACTTGTAAGTCAGATTCGTTTGTTAAGTTCAGCCAAGTGAGTCTTATCTACCTCTCACCCAGATGTAATGCTTTACAGTGCAAAGCATGAACACGCACGCACATACACACACACACACACACACACACACACACACACGCTGTTAAGTAAGCTGCTTTCCTTTTATAGTTACCGGAATTGTGGTACAGCAGGGTGCGGCACCAGGCGTATCATCGGGGTCATGGAGTGAGCTGACTGGAGTTTCTGACAGGGAGGGAGGTGGTGGGGCGCCACCACCCGCCTTCTTGTCTCGGTCCAATCCTCAGTCGTCCACCTTTGTCTTCCTGGTAGTCCCTCCACATCCCCACTGCTTTTCCTCTCGCTGCCAGGCGGCTTGGGCTCTGAGTGAACACTGTATGGTCGGCACAGAGCAGCACGCTGTGGCAGCATCCTGCAGACACGAGAGCTGCTAACATGTGGATTTGTCCACATCTCTTGAGAGTTTGTAATTTGAGATCCATTGCTATCTGAAAGTTCACAGCTCAAATGTCCGTAAGCCGGGGGCTTGCTGTACCTACTTCCAGCTGCGTGGATTTAGGTCTAAGGGTGCCCTGTCCTTTTGGTGAAGCAGCAGTAAGAGGCTCACAAGTCTGAGACCAGGCCGGGCAGCTCGGTAAGACTGCCCCAAAATGAACAGCACAGGGCAGACGGGGCGAGGTGGGGCAGCATGGGCAGCTCGGCTGGGGACATAGCTCGCAAGTGGGCCACCTGACTGACCCTGGGTTCGGGCCCTGCTCCCGCAAGGAAAGAGACTTGTAGTCCCAGAAAATTCAGGACCCCTTTCCTTAAGTTGTGTGTTTAAGGCCCTCTGCTAAGCCTGGTATATCTTAGTGTCTAAATTCACGGTTTTTGTGTAGCCATTTCCATAGAATAAGATTCCTTTAATTTAAAAAAATCATTTAGCTCAGTTGTGGAACACGTGGCTAGCATGCACCAGGCCCTGGGTTCAATCCCTAGTGCCGTCAAAAAAAATGTCTTGAAATAATTAGCTTTCTTGTGCTAAAATAAGGTTACTGAGGAAATTTTTTTAACATATGCAGATATTTTGAAAAACAATTTGAACTGTCAGAACAAACAAAATTACCAATGTTTCTTCATTGTCGAAACTCCCATGATGAATTTTTGGGTGAGTTTAAACTAAAATTCTCATTTAAAATTTAAGAATTTTACAGAAATCTAGCCACTTGCTAAAGGTTTTTTCTGTTAATTTACAGACATAATGAAAAGAAACAGAGATCGGTGTGTAGGTGGAGTGGTAAGTATGAACAAATTGTTTAATATATGATATTCAAAAACGTCTTGGTTATTAAGTAATTCAAATGTCAGCAATAAAGTTATTAAAGTTCTACATTATTTGAAGAACATGTATGTTTACTGTTGGATTTATGGGCCAGATAAAGGACAAACATAAACTGTTCTGATACATTTTTGTTCAGAACACAAGAATGAGTACAGAATTATTGGGAGGGTAAGACAGGGTCTTGCTGTATAGTTCCAGTTGACCTTGTTGAATTCAACAGTGATTCTCCTGTCTCAGCCTCCCGAGTGCTGGAATTACAGGCATGTGCCCCCACACCCGGCAAGAATGAGTGCAGAGCTCTGTTCATGAATGTATCTGTCGACACCCTGACACTGCACTTTTTGTGTCTCCATTAGCCATTCTTTAATGTTCTTCACCTTAAATTGTGAGGAAAATACACACTGATTTTTATAGTATCTTGAACTGTTGCGTCACATTTCAGGTTTGCCTTCCTAACTGCTATTTCTCTGATCTAGTACACTTCTTTCTGTCGTTTGCATTCTGCTCTACACAGTTCTCCCCGTCATGGCAGTCATTAATCTTCAGATATTTCTTATTATATTATCTACACATCTTTTAGCTAAGGTATCTATTAGGTAATGATTTTGCCTCAGAAAAATGCTCAGATACAGATTTTCATATACATTTCCTCTGTGGTTTCCTGTCTCTGTAATTTAGTCTTTAGAAACTATACTTGGGAATTGAGAGAAGTTTTAATGAACACCCTTGTCACTATCGGTGGCATTTATTATAACCTTCAGAATCCACTACTTTACTTGGGCTTGGCATGGCAGTGCCTGCCTATAATCCCAGCTACTGAGGAGGCTGAGGCAGGAGGAGTGCAATTTCCAGGGCAGCCTGGAAAATTTATGGACACCCTGTTTCAAAATAAAAGGCTGGGGACGGAGCTCAGAGCTCCCTGAGGGTTCAGTCCCCAGTACTACAATAAATTAATCAGTTAAAAACTAAAGTTGACATGGATGATTCTATAGTAATTTAAACTTTAAAAAGAACAAATTCTTTTTTATCACGAAAGAAGTTGAAAATAATTAGTAAAAGAATAATTAGTTTCCTGAAGTGGTTTATGAAGAATCACATTTAAAATTATTTGGCTATTAATGGAGGCTGTGTTTTCTAGTCCACTGGAAATGCTTAGGGCAAGGATAATCGCCTTCCAGGCAGCTAACACAGATGTAGTGTTGAGGACATGTTACCCAGTGTGCTCAGACTGTCCGGCCTTAGTGGTAAGGCAGCGTCACTTGTGTAGCAGTGTTATTACTTATTTTTGAGTATGTAAATGTACCCACCGTATGAACGACTGTGCCTGACCTTGGGTTTGTGAAGGTGAAAATGTCATCTCAGTCCTGTTCTGCCTGCCAAGCTGATACTGTTGACTGTGTATCAATTTACATTTTGAAGCAACATTCTCACCCCTGTATACAGCTTCTTAAATTGCCTCTTAAGTCATCCTGTATACAGCTTCTTAAATTGCCTCTTAAGTCATTTCTATTCTAGAAAAAATATCCTCTAACGGAACAATTCATTAATATTTTCAGTATATTTCAAATGGTGTTACAACGTTTCTGCCTTTTCCTCCTGCTGTTGCCTAATGTGGCTGCCACTCCTGAGCCTCCCTGGAGATTTGGTGATGCTAGTGGAGCAACACCAGCCAAGCACGGTACAGGGAAACCAGGCAGCTGGTTCCTTGCCTCGTGTCACTGGAGATGACGACAGGGTGCAACTGTGAAATCTTATTTGAAAATAAAAATGAGAGGAAATACTGCATTTGAAACACTGTGATCCAGGATTTTTGTTGTTTTTTTCTTAGTCTTATCTTAGAACGTTAAAGAAAGAGTTATTATGACAATAATAAAATGACACCTGTGTGTCCCCTAGGTACACTCATTTGATGGTACCAAGGAAGTAGCAGCTGCTTTGATTGACTTGGATCTTTATATAGGATTTAATGGTTGGTACGTTGTTAGGTTGTTTTTTGTTAACTTTTATAATAAACATATTTCATAAGTGATTTTATAGTGAACTGATGAAAGTTTATTTTTATTCAAGTATGTTTTCTCTGCTTGAGAATCTGTTATTTATGTAAGAAATTACAGAATATTTACCATTACAAGTTAAAGCTTGAAAATTACAGAGCACTACCCTCTGTTCTAATAGCAGAAACAATTTATGTTGAAATCGGCAGCTAGCTTTCTCTAGAAACTCAGTTGATTCTCAGGTCATTTTATGCCTTTGAAACGTACATGTTCACAGCATTTACATAGCTGCACACACATGATACATTGACCATAGGAGAAAGGTTATTCTGTGGTAATCGCTCATATATCTCTCTAGGCCAAGAATCTGAGACTGAAAGAGAAACAGGTGTAAAGTTACTGGCAGTGGAGAATCTGTGTCCTCGGGCTCCTTGCTGGGTGACCTTCCTACTGTAACAGCACTTGAAGCCTCAGTGCAGTCACTACTGTGGCTAGGGCCTTGTGCTTGTTTTTGTCAAAATATGAGAGCTTCCACCAGGGTCCTTTCAAGGATGTCAAAGTAGTGTGAGACTTGCTTTCTTAGTCACTTTCCACGTTGCTGGGACAAAATACCTGACACCTGCAACTTAGAGGAAGAGAGGCTTCCGTGGACTCCAGGGTCTTGCGGTCTCAGTTCATAGCTGGCTGGCTCCCAGGCAGAAGCAGCATCGCAGAGGGGTCTGCTGCAGAGGAAAGCTACTCACGTCACGTCACGGCAGTCAGGAATCAGGGAGTGGGTGGTGAACACACTTCCAGGTCACCCTCTGCTCGGCTCCCCACTGGATGTCCACCTCCCTGCCACCTTCCAAAGATCACCTCACACTTCCTCTTCCATATTTCCTTTCCTTAAAGTGATCACTTCTGATTACTTAGTTTTGGCTAAGAGCTTAAGATACTTCTTTCATATTTAAATTAATGGTTAAAGCAGTGTTTAAGTTAATATTCAAAGGAGTAAAGATTAAAAAGTCAGGAAGTACTGATTTAGGAACAGCTACCACAGCCCCAGCACAGCACAGCCCCAGGGCAGCTTTTCACCCTCCCTTGGCTGATCCCTGCCTGTTCTCACTGAGCCATGTGACATTGTAGTTCTTATATCCCGTACTAACTCCCACCTCCATACTCCTTCCAGTGTAGTTATTTCAAGGTTTTGGCTTTATGCATATTCAGTGTTTTCATTGTCTACATATTGTTGGCTGCTGACCCTTGTGGAATGCTATACCTATGTTTCTTTTCTTCTACCACTTGTTTTGGAATAATTCTCTGTGGTGGTTAGGACAGTGTCAATTCGATTGGCTTTGAGATCCGCCCGGGGTGGAGGGATTGGGGAAGCACACTGCTTGGGGTATCAGGGTGGTTCATGGAGGCCTTACCCGAGGGGTCTGTGTCTGGTCCCTTAGTCGCTGGTGCTGCTCTTCTGCTGCTTCCCTGCTGGTAAGCAGCTTTGCTCTACCCACAGCCTTCTGCCATTGTGTTTCTGCCTGGGGTTCAGGCAGCCATGTACTGAATCCCTTGAAATCCGTGAGCCAGATTAAACCTTTCCTTCTTTAAGTTGTAGCTGTCAGGTGTTGGGTCCCAGTAACAGGAAAGCTAAAACAGTTCCTCTCCTCCCTCTCCCCTCTTTTGTGTGTGTGTATGTAAGAGAGACTGGGGTTACACCCAGGGGTGCTCTACCCTGACTGCATTGTCCTCAAGCCCCTCAGCCTCCCAAGGAGCTGGCATTACAGGCAGGTGCTATCATGGACCATGCCTCATATATTTTAATTTACTTGGCTTTCTTCAAAAGTTGAAGCTTGCTCATACTTTGTACTGCTCTGTAAATGCTTTTTATCTGTTTTCCCCATTTAGAAACCTGTCTAGGAAGTTTCATTAGTTCTAGACCCTTCATCTTTGTTTCCGTTTGGACTAGTGTCTCTTCTCTGATACAACTCCTATTTTTAGATCCCATGTTTTCTGTGTTTGTTATAGTGGGAGAAATTTTTCATAGGAAGTACATTTTTTTAAAAAGATTTTTTATGTTTAAAAACCTAATGTATTCTGTTCTTCCTCTTAAGTTTGCTTGGATAGTTAATGAAAGGGAGAGGGACTGATAGTTTTCCTGGGGATAAAATTCTATATTAAAAGTCATTTTCACTGAGAATTGACAGTGCCCCATCAAGTCAGTTCTGGTGTTGAGTGCTATTCTGATTCCCAGTGCTTGCCCTGTGACCTGCTTTCTTTTCCTTTGGAAGATTTTAGTTCTTTATGCTTGGTATGAAATTTACAGATGTGTTTTCTTGTTTTGTCTTCATTGTTCTTGCTGGCCCCTTCCTGCTAGAGACTTATCTTTGTCAGTTCTGGAGAAGTTTTATTAAGTAATTTTGGCATTTGCTTTGAATCTCTGAAAGCTCTTATTTTTAAATATTATCTTGTTTGATAGATGAAGTTATCTTCTCATCTCTCTAAAGATAGGAATAGCAGTGTAATTGCTTTATTGCTTTTATTAGTTTCTCTTTCCCCTTTTGGTTTCTGTCATGTTGGGGGCTTCCTTCAAATGTCAGACAGTCCTTCACTGTCTATTTAAAAAGAAAAACAAAACTGTTTGGAAACTGGTGAGAGTCCATCACTAGCAGAGATGGTCAGCTGACTTTTCCACCGGGAATTCCCAGATACCATTCTGTACAGATCTTTTCTGGGCTGATCCAGTTTCTTCAGAAAGGCATCCTTTGGTCCAAGCTGCAAAGTGAAGTGGGGATTTCTAACTGTGCTGACAGTGCTGTGGAGCAGAGTAGCATTAGAAAGAAGACTCACTGTTCAGAGAGCAGTGTTTTCATTTTCAGCCCCATGCTTCAACCCCTCCTCTGGTATGTGCTGGTTGTTCCCCACCGAGTCTCTGATTTAGGTTCATTCTGTCTCTGTCTCCCTCCCCCTCTCCTTCCCTCCCTCCAGATTTCTTCTAGGTACATAGCTGTTAGAAATGACTTGGGTGTGTTGGTTTGCTCGTTTTTGGTCTCTGCAGGCACACGGCATTTAAGTCACTTAACATTTAAAACGTGACATCTGTCATTTCTCTATCAGCTTTCTGCTTTACATGTTATGATTCAGGGTAACAAATATCTACTAGTTTGATCAAAAACTCCTGTTTTTTCTCCTTGATATTTTGGGTGAGGAGGCGTTCAAGAGACTGTAAGATTAGCAGTTGCCAGAGATTTAGAGGGAGGGAGAGATGAACGGACAGAGCACAGAGGGTTTTTAGACACTGAAACTGCTGTGTGATACTGTCCTGGTGAATATGTCATTTGTCCAAACCCATAGAATTACTGCACCAAGGAGCCCTAAGCTCTCTACTACAGGCCATGTTTTCATTCTGGGGACTCAGGCTGAAGAGGCAACAACCTCCCAGGGTGCCATCCAACCGAGGAAGAAGAGTCCATTGCCTGTGGCCATACCCTCCCACCCATTCACCCACAGCAAGTCTGGAGGCAAAGGCTAGATTCCAGAGGGGAGCTCATCCATCCCACTGAGAAACCACGGCAGGGTACAGATACTTTTATTAAAGAACAGCAAAGAATTGGGGGCAGGAATCCTGTCTCAGAGACTGAAAAGGAAAGTTAAGGAAATGGAAAGTTAAGAGCCTCTAAGTTGTGCAAATAAGTTCTTTTTTAAAAGTTTAATTTTACTTAAACTGATACAGAAAGCTACTGAAGAATCAACTGATAAGCATGAAGAATTACATCCTCTAAAGGCAGATCTGGTTGGAACTATCACTCTGGAATCTATGAAGAATGTATAAATGCTTCCTAAAATATACTGACAAAATGTGTTATGGGGTTTTGAGTTTTGTAATTTGTATTAAACATGATATAAAAAAGTTATTCACTAAATGCTACTTTAAAAAAAGTGTACACTTCTTTTAAAGCTCACTGAAAACTGAGGCTAATTTGGAAGTTTTGAAGTCAATACCTAGTGAAAAATTAATGATTGAGACTGGTAAGTGGAAGTGTTCAGAACTTAAGTTTCATGTTAGACCACTATCACCTCCCCCAAAAGGAAGGTGACATCAGGTTTACTGTTAAATATTTTAAAATAGTATGTTCAACAGTTACACTTTTCAAAAGACTTTTTTGGGTTTTTATTGAAGTATTTATGCAAGAGATTTTTATTTTCAATTTTAGAAGTTTGTCTAAGCCTAGAAACTTAAAAAATGTCAGAATCTGTAATAACCTCTTATACCTAATCAAGGAGTTCTGACCAAGATTACACCTTAGTTTCACGATCTTGCAATCTTTTACATGACGTCTTTATAATGGTTTAATTCTATAGTATTTTTTAAACTGCAAAAAATCAAATTGTTTTTGTATAAGAATGTTACAGTCTGTTCCCTTTTAAAACAAGGTTAAAAGCTAAAACTTTTATCTCTAAATCTTGTAACTCAAGGCCTTTATATCATAACCTTTAGTAAATTAGCCCAGACTGAGGTGCTCTGGAGGCCTTAACTTTATTTCCTTGGGCAAACATGAAATTGAAATAGATTAAGTACAATGTTTGTAAAATTTGTAAGCTGTTGTAATGATTAAAGAGATAAATATTTAAAGCCACTGTTTCATATTCAGTAGAGATAATATAAAAATTATGTTAAATATTTTCATGTTCCAATTGTCCTTTTTAGGCTTGTCTTTTTTTAAAAGCAGGCCATATACTAATGTTAGCAGAAAAAGTTGACTTTTACTTATAAAGCATTTAAGATGCAACTGAGGTTTTACCTTGTGCTTTTCTTAGAACTGTTTTCTATATAGTAGAAAAATGGGCAAGCTGAATTATGGGTTGTAATTTACAGATTGAACATTGGCAAACTAAAATTTAAAAACATAGACCTCGTCACACTTTTCTTTGTGCCTAACTGTAGATGCGCCTTGGTGTGGAGTCAAAAGTACGCATGCTGGATCAAAATATATAAAAACTTCATTTCCTACCAAAAAGAAATGGGAAAATGGGCATTGTTTAAAAGATAGAAATGAACCCTGCCATATAATGTAAGTGTTTTTCTTTTATGGACTTCAGAATCACTGCAGGCAATCACCAAATGCCACTGACTAAAAAATGAACTCTCTTTAAGTACAGGTCATTCTAACAAGTGTACATGCTGAATGGTAGAACTGATGAAACATATCATCATAACCCAAAGTTCAGGTTCAGGTCAAAGACCATTTCAATAATGATTTGGAGGAATTTGCACCTGAATTGCTCTATCTGGGCTCCTAGCTTCACATCCTTTCCACCCTGGGACTTTATTGCAGCAGTGAGAAATGTGATTTTGGATTGGTTGTCATTCTGTAGAGGGAAGGAAGAGACCCTACAGCTATCCATAGATCACTTCACCTGATGTGAGTTTATTCTCACGAACCTTCACTTCTCTATCTGTAACCAGTTAGCCTTCGCATTTTAAATGACTCTACGACCTCAATAAATTGAGAAAAGAACACATTTCTTTAAGCCTTGAAACAACATGACAAGTGAGAGGGTTTCCTTTTCCCTGCCTTCACCTCCAAAAAGGCATAAAAATTAATATTGGCTTGTTACCTTTAGACTGCCAATTTCTCAAAACACAGCATCTTTTTCTTTGTAATTTTTAACATATAATGAGTATTAGCTAAGCCGAATCTAAAATTCAGCAGACAGAAAAATTGAGAATTGGCCTATAAAAATTATTTGAGAGGTTCTTTTCCTTTACTAATTGTTCGCTCTTAGGGCCAGGGATTTAGCTTGGTGGTTCCACTGCCTGTCTCATAAGCACAAGATCCAGAGTTCAGTCCCTGGTACAAAAAAAAATAAATAAATGAAGTAACTAATTGTTGGCTCTGGCAAAGACTTTAAAATTGAATGCTTTAAGGAATGTATTTGGATTCTGGTTTGTTAAAAAATTAAAAATACTTGTAATTTTTATGAAATATAGATACTTGCAAATTTAATCAGAAGACAGTATTTCTAATTATTTTTCAGAGATCTAAGAGGACACTAGAAATGAGAGACTGGTATTTTGCTAGCAGCCAGCCAAGAGGGAGTAGTTGCTAATAGTGTATCCAAATCAGATTTCTGTATTTCCTTAATCTTAAGTAAAATTATAGCCATTCACTTCAGTGATGTTAATTACTAACTGGCAAGTTAATTCCTACTTACAAAAGTCATTTATCAACCTCCATTCTGTTACTAAGTTTTATACTATAATTATTATATAGAGGTCTTCCCTCCCCTTTAGATTATAAATTCCTTGAAAGAGACATTCTGGAGCACCTGCCATTCAGGAAAGTTAGATTACTGAGACAAGAATCAAGACAGGCCCTGTGCTCACCCACCAACCACACAAACGGGCTCCCTGTGCCAGGCTCCTGGGTGAAGCACTCAGTCAGACCCTGGGCCCTGCATCCTGAAGCAAACAAGCAGATAAGCTATAGTCTGAGACAGTAAAGCTGTTAGAGAGGTATGAATCTGTATCCGGGAACACAGACATGGCAGCTGTCTCCCTAGAGAATTAGAAAAGTGCTTTACTGAGGTGACATCTCAGCTGTTTACTAAGCAAGCCTGGGAATCAGGCCAAAGACCCTAGGCAAAGGCCTACTGCAGAAAGTGTACTGCAGAAGCCTCGCTAACTCAGAGTAACAACGAGTTTAGTATGGCAAGTAGGATGCACAGGGTAAGAGGGAGAAGAGCAGCCTGGGAAGGTGAGGTGAGGCCAGGTTGTCAGGTGTCTTGTATGCCAAGCCTAATAGGTTAGATTTTTCCCAACAGCCAAAGGATTGTAAGTAGGAAAATGGCAAAAACAAAACCAACCCACTCCTAACAGGCTGACAGAAGTGACTGGAAAGGAGGTGGGTGACAGGGATCATTTAGCTCTTTCAAGACCTAAAACTGCCTAGCTTAAGACTGCTGCATTAAATGCCATTGAATTCTCAAGGATAATAAACTTCCTTTTAAAAAAAGAGTAACTAGCTTTAGGCTACTGACACTACGTAGAAATAGACTGACTATAACAAAGATTGCCATAAACTGGGCCGGGGATTTAGCTCAGTGGTTCCGGCACCTGCCTTGCAAGCACAAGGTCCTCAGTTAGATCATTACCAAAAAAAAAAAAGATTGCCATAAACTTTGTTATTATCAAGCATACAGAAATAGAAGGTTCTACTAAGCACCAAAGTACTTAGTAAGAAATTTCTAAGACAGATATGGGGCATACACCTGTAATTCCAGCCCTTGGGAGGCTGAGGCAGGAGGACTGCCTGGAGTTCAAGGCCAGCCTAAACTAGAGAGAGAGAGACCCTGTCTCAGAAAACATGAACAAAAAATGCTAACTAGGAAGTAATTTTGCCATACAGTGTAATTTTAGCAAACCAATTGTGAACTTCAAAACATTCTATCAGGAGCACTACTTAAAAGAGTTCCAATTCTGAGTAGTACCTAGAGGAAAATTCTGAAATTCACTAAGGATATTTACTGTCTTAATTTAAATGTTCCCAATTTATTAGCATATTGTGATTGTCAGATAACAAATTTAATGATAGGTTTGATACATTTACTAAGCAGTCTTGTGTCACCATTACAGAACACTAAAAAATTAATCTTAAATTTCCATCTCTAATTCCTTTGGGTGTTTACATTTTAAAATTTTATTTTTATTTGTGTGTTTGTTTGGAGACAGGATCTCACCGTGTAGTTCAGGCTGGCCTCAAACACCCAGCACTTGCAGCAATCTTTTTGCCCCACAGGCGTGCGTCACCATGCCTGGCCCTGGCTGGGTGTCTACATACAAGATATCTAGAAAAGGAACAAAAAGCTGCCTAAAGAGTACTTAAACGTTTAGTGTGCCCTAGAGCTTTTTCACTGAGGTCTAATAGTACCCTACCTGTAAATAATATCACTAGCAGATACTACTAGTAGTCATCATTTTAGGCAGAGAAACTGAAAGACGTATCTCTTGCAGGGGGGAAAGTACAGGGCACCCCACGCTCCTCCCCACAGAACTTGTTCGCCACTTGCTGTCGTTGTACCCAGCAATAAATCATCTCTTGCTATCTCTAACTAGTTTAAGCATTGGCTTTCAAACTTTGGGTGCTATCCTCACAATAGGATCATTACATACATACAAACGTAAATAAAAACCAAACCAGAAGTGGAAAGGTACTTACCCTTATTAGTGCAATGTAAATGTCCTTTAACCTTTTAAATGTTCATCATGACTCCCTGAAGATATGTTATGACCTAGTGTAAAGGGGCTCTTCATTTCTACTAGACTAATTCCCTGATGTGGTCCACATAATATAGAAGGCTGGTTTATTACAATATACTTGAACCTGATTCTTGGCTTTATATGAAAGTCAGCTCTAGAACTTATCTCTAATTGCTGATAGTAAGTTAATTTTTTCCATTGATACATGCTGCAAACTTAACTGTTAACGCTGTGTTAAAAATGCTAGTACAAGATACTCTTTCACATGGAAAAGATGATTACATACCTTTAAAACAATACATACTTGGAAATTTAACCATTTTTTTGTTTTTTCTTTAGTCAAATACTGGAGATAATGTCAGCAGTAAGAGATGAGGAGCCACTGGAATTAGCCAATACGCTATATAACAACACCATTAAACTATTTTTTCCTGATATTTAATTGGCATATTCCAACATGTATGAAAAATTTCATGGCAAAATTTACGTAAATTTCAATAAAGAAAATTATCTGAAAGCTGTCTAAAGAGGAATCATTACACATCATCCCTTTCACTGGTATCCATGAAATCTGGATTTTTTTTTTTATATCACTCACGCTAGTGTAAAGTAATGAGAACCTAGCTATTTGCCTGCATTGTGTCATCTTACCAAAAGATAAAAGGACACTTCAGCACATTCTGCTGTATATCAAAGTTTAGTTGATAAAAGCCTATTTCTCAACTGACAGTCCTGACTCATGACTTTTGAACCTAGCTAATCAAATTTCAAAAAAATTCTCAGTTGCTTCTGGCAGGATCATTTTTTCTTAGCTTTAAAATACTCCTTTGGTCAAATTAACTTACTAGCGATCACTTTATTTCCTTGAATTTAATGTGATTTTTCTGGTTTGCACTTGTGTTTTTCCACTTTGAAAACTCATTTTAAAGAAACACGAGGGTGCAGAGTTAGAGACATAATTTCACTGAGACTCTTTGGCATAGCTGACACACCATATGACTACTGTATCTATTAAAAAGCTGTTTGTTCAAATTTTGTCATAAAAACTTGAAAACATTTTATTCTATGTACAATAATGTACACAAATTTAAATAGGTCACCAAAGAGACCAGAAGTAACTAAAGAAGTATATTTACAGTAGCACATCACAGTAAATGGAAAACCATTCACAGATTCAACATTGATACTGTTTTTTGTGCTTGGTTACACACTGAAGCAAAGCATATTACTCCACTTTGGATGAACTCAATTTTAAACAAATACCTCAGTGATTAGTAAATTACTTTAATCAGTGTCATCATTAAAATCTTCAGCTGCTGCACCTGTGTGCTGAATCACTCCATTTCTTTCTCTCTGCACATCGTCATCATAGTCTGTACTGTCGTTTTCATTCAGTTCCCTGTCAGATTCAGCAGCATCTTCTCTTACCTCCTCTGGGTTTTCATTTTCATTGGCTGCAATAAATCCATTGTTGTTAGATATACTGGAATCATCCTTGACATCATCTTCAGTGTACACTTTCTGATGGCACATCGGACAAGTATCTTGAATGTATAGCCATTTCCGAAGACAAAGTGCATGGAAATAATGATTGCATGGTGTAATGCGAGCAGAAGTTGTAAACTCATGATAGCAGATTGCACATACATCATCTATTTCTTGCAAGCGGCTCCCTTTTATTTCAGGAAGTGAATTGATTTTCTTAACAGCAGTTCTACGATTCATGAATGTCTTCCAGCCATTTTTCGCTTGTAGGTAGATGTTAAAATATGCATGTAGGCACATCATACAAGCCCGAATTTTACTTCCTGACTCAAACATCATAGTATAAGCCCCATTTCCAAACATTACCACTCCAAATATAAATTCAATAATATTGCCGGTTGAACGAACATAGTAGACATAATCATCAAGCTTTTCCCAGAGGACATTATAGTAGCCATCAATCATGAATAACGTATAAACAGTGAGGGAAACAATTACTTTTAAGCAGAGCTCCACACAAAAGGCAGTAACTGCAAACAACCATGTATTTAGGGCATAGTGGTGCCAAAGAACGTAGCTGAGTATAACAGGAAGAATGAACAGGCAAGCAGAGACAAACAGCACGGGAAAATGTCTACGAAAAGATGAAACATGGGAGGCGCTGAGAGACATTAATACAGGGTCTGTCATTCCATGGATGAAATGCAGGACTGCAGTTAACAAAAGGCACATGTTTCTACTTAAGCGAATAAGTCTCTCTTCTGGTCTCAGCCCACTTAAACCAGTCTGAAGAGCCAAAATAAAAAATAAAACAGGTGCTACAAAGCCAAGCCGCCTGTCATCATCTTCAGTTGACCCAATAAAGGCCAATATTCCAAGCCCCAAATAATGGGCTACTGAGGAAATTACGGCACTCATACCCAGTACAGTCAAAGTAGAATCACATCCACTAATTATAAGATTGCAAATGAGGTCCCAGAAATCATCCCAAGAAATCAGGAAGGACTCAGTTTCATTTGCCATCCTTAGAATGTACATTAACACTGTAGCCTGAGCTGTAATTCTTGTTAGCCAGAAGACTCGAAGTATATCTGGGAAACGAATCCTCTTCCACGTGTCCTCCATCAGTAACTGTAATCCATAAATTCGATACATGTGCCTCACTAAAAGATAAACATATCGTGTGGAATAATAAAACCACCTAAGTTTCACTGCCAAGACAAGTACTGTATTTAATATGAGAATCAAGGAAGAGGTAAAAACTAAGGTCTCCCTGATGTGTAATGGTAGCTCTGTGATTAAGCCTATTACAGGAACCAAAAGATCCAAAACAATTAACTGTGAATAGATGGAATGAATCTGGAGTAGTGTGATGTATCCAATCCCAAATGTTAGCTGTAGAACAATGAGTGCCATCCATAGTGAGGGCCCTTTTTGAGGAAGCAGCTCAATTCCAAAGGCCGAAGTGTTGTAGGCACCATAGAAGTCAATGTGCAAAGCAGTGTAATAATTCACCAACACTGAGGTTGCAGCTAATAGAAAGGCTGAGCTGTACATGTAAAACTTGAAAAGTGACCGCTGTGACAAGATTAGAACAATACTGGATACAAATATACCTAAAAAAAAAAAAATAGAAAAGGTCATTTGAATGAAGTATTTTTCAGCATGATTTTACATTAATATTTAAATCTTCTGCCTTTATGATATTTTCAAAGTTATGAACATTAGGTCTCAAAAAACCTTAGGCTTAAAGGATAGTAAGGTTTTACAAAGTTAGATTTCAAGAGACCAGAACAAAAACACTAAATTAGTCTTAAAAATCTTACCGTTCGCTGGGGAGGGTGGTACACGCCTGTAATTCCAGCACTCTGGGAGACTGAGGCAGGAGGACTCTAAGTTGGAGCCCACCTTGGGAGACTGAGGCAGGACTCTAAGTTGGAGCCCACCTTGGGCAATGGACAACATAGTGAGACAGTGTCTCAAAATTTAAAAAAAAAAAAGGGTCTAGGGCTGCAGCTCAAGTGCAAAGGCCCTGGCTTCAACCCCCAGTACCAGAAAATTAAAAAAAAAAAAATCTCACCCTTTATTTTCTAATTTCCAACATAATTTTGTCACAAAATTCCTAAGTTATCTTCAGGACAAATTTGTAGTGATAGATACCTTTAGATAAGCTTTAAAACTCAAAAGAACATGTCCTTTATAATTTCATAATCATTAAAAACTTAGGGCTGGGATGTAGTTCATTGGTAGAGCACTTGTCTAGTGTGTCTGAGGTCCTGTGTTTGATCTCCAACATTCCAAAAAAAAAAAAAAGTAATTCCATCAAAAAATTATTAAAAATAGCTACGCAGGAAACATCACCAATATTAAGTCTTACAATTCTTTTTTGTAAAGTGTTCTCTTGGAAATCATGTTAAGTTTTACACTTCCATGTAATTCCTCCATTTGTTCCAAGTGTAAACTCAACGCCAGGTCTTCTTCCTGCTCCTCAAATTTCAGCATTCTCCAAGGGTCTGATTTTTCCTTCTCTCTACATTCTTTCCTTCTGACTTTGGAAATGACTTTCCCTTTTTCCTGTATATTACTGACTTCATTTCTTCAACCCCTTTTCTTCGGGTTACAAAAGTAACATTCAGAAAAGGGCTAATAAATTCCCTCCTCCCCTACTCCACATGTACCTGCGGTCAACAGTACGATGGTGTGCATCTGGGCACATCTTTGTGCACCAACACAAAATTTTTAGGTAAGATTTCAATAAACAGTCAAAAGTTTCAACTATAAAATGACATCCAAATATTCACCGAGTTCCACTCCTCATTACCACTGCAAAAGTCAAAACCTGAAAGCCTAACTCACCTCAAACCAGAACCAGCTTTTCTTTGTGATTTCCACTTTCATTTGAAGGTACCATCACCACCAGGTACCACTAACCATGCTTCAGGGCCCATGAGTTGCCAAATTCTAACATCTTTCTCTCTTTTTTCTCAGTGACACCAACCAAAGACACCTATAAATCACCAATTGTTTTTCTTCATTCCTGTGCTCAAATTACGTTCTTTAGTGGCTCTGAAATTACTGACTAAAGCTTATACTCCTTGTTTTGGCATTCAAGGAGCCAATTTAAAGTGATATTCTTCCCCACACACACAGACACCCCAATGTGCCATATTTCTGTTTCCCAAACGTCTTTGTCTACCACAATTACGTCTTTACAGTCTTCTCTTTGCTTAGAACGACAGCCCCATGTTTCCAACCCTAGTGTGGTTTACATGTAAGTGTCCTAAAGACTCCCGTATGAAGGACGTAATGCTCAATGCAGCAATATTCAGAGGGGGCCTAGAGAAGTGATTGCTTATGAAGGCTCTCACTTTCACTCCATTAATCCACAGATAAAGATTATAATTTGATGGTATTATTAGGAGGTAACAAACTCAGAAGGTGAAACCTAGTTGAGGGCAGGTCGGATGCTCCGTATGATAGTGGAAGCATTTTAAAACCTGCTGCATGTAAAAGCAAGAGCTAGTTCCTTGAAGTAATGACTGCACACACACATACTTTATCCTGTGCCTGTCAGGTCATTGTGAAAAGAACACTTTGAACTAGAGGATGCATAAACCTTTCAGTAAGAGCCATCTACTTCTCCCACCCAAGTAAGCCACTAGTAATCTTTCAGAGTTGAAAACAGGGTCCTTTCAATAGAAACTGTATTTTCTGAGGATTAAAATCTTTTTCCATGCAAGTTTACAAGGAAGTGGAATTCACTCAGTATACTCTATGCCATATGTGATCTTTCTATATATGGGAAAACAAATGTACTGTATTTTTCCTAAGAAAAGCCTTCACTAATCGTCATTTTATTTTATGGTAATTAAAGTTAAAACAGGGACTGAAATAATTTTTGTCACCTTGCTATTCACAAAATGGTAAATTAATCACCAGTGTTCATGAACTCTGCTGTAATTTTACAACCAGTCCTGTTTATTTGAGTAGCTTTTTCCCTTGAAGCTTATTTTTACACACAAAGGAATGACT